CGGCACGGGGCGGGGTCAGGCGAGGAAACTGAGGCCGGCTCTCTTGACCGCCAACGCAGCCCCTGCGGGGATGGGACCTAGGACGAGATTCCACTCCTTCCCCACCTGTAAAATGGGCCAACCCATTAGGGCTAAGCCCATAAAAGCACTTAGCACCGTGCCTGATTTATGCTGAGTTTACAGGCCAGGCTAATGCTGCTTAGGACGGGGCGGGGTCAGGCGAGGAAACTGAGGCCGGCTCTCTTGACCGCCAACGCAGCCCCTGCGGGGATGGGACCTAGGACGAGATTCCACTCCTTCCCCACCTGTAAAATGGGCCAACCCATTAGGGCTAAGCCCATAAAAGCACTTAGCACCGTGCCTGATTTATGCTGAGTTTACAGGCCAGGCTAATGCTGCTTAGGCACCACCACCCCACTTTACAGAGGAGGAACCCCGCGGGGGAAAGGATGACTACCTTGCGGGAGATCACTCAGCTAAGAATGGTAAGTGAGCCGGTGCCTCACATCGGATCTTGTCCTCCGAGTGACAGCTGTTGTAATTGGAGGCAGATAGGCTGGCGGGGCTAATACGCTTAGGGGCTCCTTCTCAACTAACCGGAATAAAAATGCCTCCCTTGAGGGACTTTGGGGGCACCTGGTAAAATATTAAGAGACTGGACAGTGGCTCGGTGGTAGAGCGCATGCTTAGCATGCACGAGGCCCCAAGTTCGATCCCCAGCACTTTAAAAAAAGGACTCTGGCGTCAAGAACATAATAGCTGGCAGGAGGGAGGACTGGAACCCGACGCGACAGAGGGATAGGGATGAGAGAGCGGATCGGCCTGCTCCTGGGTGAGCCGCCTTCCCGTCTTTACCCGCCTGCTTTCATTCTCGAGCTGGTTAGCTGCAAACAGCGGTTGCTCCATAAACGCACAAATTCTGTGAACAAGATCTGCCACCCTTAGCGGTCAGTCATTCCTGCTTATGAACACCCCGTTTTGCCTCCATCTTTCTGCATTATTTGATTGTTCCAGCAGAAGGCTTTAGAAGAGAAAATGAAAGCTCTCCCTTGATCCCGCCCCTGCCGGGCCGCCACCGCCGCCGCGGTTAATCACCGCTGCCATTCCCCACTGGACCTCCCCATGGTCTTAAGTAAAGAAGAACGGTATCTGTTTGTCACCCTTGCTTATGTGACGGGCGTAGTTCTCCGTGAGGACCCGGGGCGGCCACCGTCTTTCAGCGGGCTGCACAGTATTTCCTTTGACGATCTGCTGAGATGGTCAACCGGCCTCACGGGACCTTGGGGCTCCCTTTGCACCTCTGTAGGCATAATAAAAGGGGCCCTGGCGGTGGACACCCTTCCCCGAGCGCCTGTTTCTCCTGCAGAACTGATCGCAGAAGTGAAGCTGTCAGGCACGTGCCCTTTTGGTGCCATCGGCCAAGCTACACCCGGAAATACTGCTGTGTTCCACCCCCGTCCCACGCGTGGGCCTCGCCTCCAGTTGTCCATTCTTTGAACCTGTCGATCCTGAAAGCGGCGAGGGCCGGGAAGAACCTCTCCTAGTTTTTGGGTGCCCTTCTTTGAGGACTGACGTTGGAGGTCTCACCCCGCTATGGCTCTTGGTGGGTCCCGCCCATCCCGTGCCCTAGGAGGCAGGTGGTCTGGGCCAGGACGCTAAGGCACAACTTCGAGGCGCCAGCTGCCTACACCTGCCCTGGCCACTCGCGCGTCGCCTCACCGCCTGTCTCTGCTCATGGGCCTTTCTGGCTTGCGCCACGGCTGGACTGTCACGCCCACCTCACATGCCCTTCCCTGCTCTCCCTGGAACCCCAGCGCTAGCAGGTCCCCGCCCCAAAGTCACTTCCTTGTTTAATCAGTGACCTGTTGTGCGTCCCGCTCTGATTGGCCCTGCGCCGTGTCTGTTGCGAAGGCTCGGCTGCCTTGACCTCTAGTTGCTCCCTGTGCGGCGCCGCCTCCTAGCCACCTGCTGGCGAGGTGGGCCCGGGACCCAGGAGCGCCGGCATCTTGCTCACCTGTGCCTCAGGGCAAGAGCTTCGGGGCCTCGTACCCCTCTTGGGGTCTACCCCGTGCCTCTGCTTCGGGAACTGCAGCTCCCAGAAGTGACTGTTAATAAAGGGCTAGAGCCAGACCCCTGGGGAGCTAGCTCCAGGCCCGATCTGAAATTCCCTGGGGCCAAAAATATCGCAGTATCCAGCTCAGAAACTAGAATCTTTCTCAAGCTCTGTTGGCTGTTTAATCTTCAAATTCTTTCCTAGATTTTTTCTTTCCCAGTTTTAATAAAATATAATGTAACAGCTGGGTGTAGTGGCACACGCCTGTAATTCTAGCACTCAGGAGGCTGAGGCAGGAGGATCACTGAGTTCGAGACCAGCCTGGGCTACATAGTGAGTTCCAGGTCATTCTCAACTACATACTGAGACCCTGTCTCAAAAAACCAAAAGAAAAAAACCCATATAT